GTCGTCCCCCCCCGGTGTCCCCACCGTGAGCTGCAGTGAGGGGGTCCCAGCACCACGTGGGGGACAGCGTCAGCCCCCCAAAACCACCCTTGTCACCCCCTCAGTGTCCCCCCCCGGTGTCCCCACCGTGAGCTGCAGTGAGGGGGTCCCACCATCACCTGGGGGACAGCGTCAGCCCCCCAAAACCACCCTTGTCACCCCCTCTGATGTCCCCCCCCGGTGTCCCCACCGTGAGCCGCAGCGAGGGGGTCCCGGGGGTCGCGGGGGTCCCGTCGTGCTCCGGGAACGCCACCGAGTCGTAGACGATGCCCAGGAGCGCGGGGTCCTCCGAGGATGGCACCAGGTGGCCAAAACCCTGCGGGGTGGGGGGGCGAGCTGGGGTCACCCCCAGCTTGGGGACAGCGGGGACAGCTTGGGGACAGCAGGGACAGCTTGGGGACAGCGGGGACAGCTTGGGGACAGCGCGGGGCGCCGCTCACCGTGACGGGCAGCGCGGCCCCCTCGTACTGCAGGTTGACCACGGCCACGGAGGCGGCCGGGATCGCCCGGAGCTCCCGCGCCAGCGGCTCCGCCTCGGCCGGCAGCGCCCGCGCCAGCGCTGGGGACAGCGGCGACATCAGCCACACCGCGGCGACACCGCGGCGACACCGCGGGGACAGCCCCCCGCCCCGCCGTGCGGTACCTGAGGCCGGCAGGGCGCTGATAACGTGATCGGCAGTGAGGGTGGCATCGGGCAGCGTGAGCTGGGGACACAGCGGGGACACTGGCGACACCGGGGACCGTGCCAGCCCCGCGGTGCCCCCCGTGCCAGCCCTCGCTGGATCCCGCTGACAGCCACATCAGGGGTCCCCACGCTGTCCCCAGCCCCGTGTGCCCCAGCCCAGGAGTGTCCCCATGCTGTCACAAGCCCAGGAGTGTCCCCACGGTGTCCCCTGTCTCAGCCCCGTCCAAGGGGTGGCACCTGGGAGTCCCCGTGGTGTCCCTCTGCCCCTGTGCCCGCCAGATGCCAGCCCCAGCAGTGTCCCCAGTGTCCCCAGGGTCCCACCGTGTGGCAGTGCCAGCCCCAGCAGCACGGAGCCGCGCCGTCGCTCGGCCTGGAACAGCGCGGGGAAGCAGCTGCGCACGCTCAGGGCCCGGCTGTCCCCGGCAAACACCCCCCGGCACAGAGAGTCCACGGCCAGCTCGGCCACCTGGGGATGGGGACAGGGACACAGTGACAGGGACATAGGGACAGGGACAGTGACAGGGACACAGGGACACAGGGACAGGGACAGTGACACAGGGACAGGGACACAGGGACAGGGACAGGGACACAGGGACAGGGACACAGGGACAGGGACAGGGACAGTGACACAAGGACAGGGACACAGGGACAGGGACATAGGGACAGTGACACAGGGACAGTGACAGTGACAGGGATACCAGGACAGGGACAGGGGACAGTGACACAGGGACAGGGACAGGGACACAGGGACAGTGACACAGTGACAACGGGACCCCACCCACCGCAGGGAGGCCCCGATAAGGCCGGGTGGGGCTGTGGGGGGGTTATCGGGGTTTGGGGTGGGGCTGTGGGAGGTGACACCGGGGACAGGGGGATGGCATTGGGGACAGGGGGAATGGCATTAGGGACAGGGGGAACAGCCCAGAGCACGGCCCTGGGGACAGGGACGGCACCAGGGACAGGGAGGTGACACCAGGGACAGAGGGCATGGCCTGCAGCACGGCCCTGGGGACACAGGGACAGCATTGGGGACAGTGGGGATGGCAATGGGGACAGGGGGCACGGCCCAGAGCATGGCATTGGGGACAGGGACAGGGACAGGGAGGTGACACACCAGGGACAGGGGGAACGGCACTGGGGACAAGGGGCACGGCCCAGAGCACGGCCCTGGGGACAGGGACAGGGAGGTGACACACCAGGGACAGGGGGAATGGCATTGGGGACAGGGGGCAAGGCACGGAGCACGGCCCTGGGGACAGGGACAGCGGGGATGGCACTGGGGACAGCGGGGATGGCACCAGGGACAGGCGGCACAGCATGCAGCGTGGCCCTGGGGACAGCAGGGACACACAGGGCTGGCACCAGGGACAGGGGACACAGCCCGCAGTACACCCCTGGGGACAGCGGGGACAGGAGAGGTGGCACTGGGGACAGGAGGTGGCACTGGGGACAGGGGGAACCCGGCCCAGAGCAGCCCCCGGGGACACCGTGGGGTCAGGGGGTGACACTGGGGACAGGAGGTGGCCCTGGGGACAAGGGACACAGCCCAGAGCAGCCCCCGGGGACGCTGCACGGTGAAAGGGTGACACCGGTGACAGGGGACAGGGGGAGGTGGCCCTGGGGACAGGGGACACCCACCGCAGCCCCGAGGGCAGGGGGTGCAGGGCCCCCCCCAGGTACAGGAAGCGATTCCGCGCCGCCGGGTGGTCCCTGGGGACAGCCAGGATGTCACCGGCCAGCCCCAGCTCCGACACCTGCGCCCCCGGGTCACAACCAGGACCCCCGGATCAATCGCTGGAACCCCGGATCAGCACCGGGACCCCAAATCAGCACCGGGACCCCCGGGTCACAACCAGGACCCCCGGATCAATCGCTGGAACCCCGGATCAGCACCGGGACCCCAAATCAGCACCGGGACCCCCGGGTCACAACCAGGACCCCCGGATCAATCGCTGGAACCCCGGATCAGCACCGGGACCCCAAATCAGCACCGGGACCCCCGGGTCACAACCAGGACCCCCGGATCAATCGCTGGAACCCCGGATCAGCACCGGGACCCCAAATCAGCACCGGGACCCCCGGGTCACAACCAGGACCCCCGGATCAATCGCTGGAACCCCGGATCAGCACCGGGACCCCGAATCAGCACCGGGACCCCCGGATCAACCCCGGGACCCCAAATCACCACCCGGACCCCCGGGACCCCGCGGGAATTGGGGTCCTGTGGGAATTGGGGGTCCCGGGGGACACCGGGGGTCTCTGCAGGGATGGGGGTCCCGGGCTGGGGGGGACACCGGGGGGTGACCGGGAAGAGCGGGAGGGAAGCGGAGCTGGGGGTGCCGGGCTCGGGGGTCCCGCGGGGAGGGCTCGGGGGTCGCACGCTCACCTTGGGCGGGCGGGGGGCGCGCAGCAGGTGGTAGCAGGCGGCCAGGCCGCTGATGCCGCCGCCCACGACGGCCACGGTGGGCGGCATGAGGGGAGCTGGGGCGGGCAGGGTCAGCGGGGCCGCCCGGAGCCCCCAGACCCGCCCGGAGCCCCCAGCCCCGCGACCCCTCCTCACCTGTCCCGCGTCCGCCGCGCTGGCCACGCCCCTTCCCGCGGCTTAGCAGGGGAAGGGGCGGGGCGAAGGGAAGGCGGACCAATGGGAAGGCGCAGCGCGTTGATGGACAGCGCGCTGCGGCGGGAGGAAGCGCGCCGTGCGGATAAGCCCCGCCTACTGCGCCACCAGCCAATCATCACTCACGCCGTGCCCCATGACCACGCCCACCTCTAATCAAGCAACAATAGGCCCCGCCTATACACTCAAACCACGCCCACTACGTAGCTGTCATCGCACGCTCACCTTGGGCGGGCGGGGGGCGCGCAGCAGGTGGTAGCAGGCGGCCAGGCCGCTGATGCCGCCGCCCACGACGGCCACGGTGGGCGGCATGAGGGGAGCTGGGGCGGGCAGGGTCAGCGGGGCCGCCCGGAGCCCCCAGACCCGCCCGGAGCCCCCAGCCCCGCGACCCCTCCTCACCTGTCCCGCGTCCGCCGCGCTGGCCACGCCCCTTCCCGCGGCTTAGCAGGGGAAGGGGCGGGGCGAAGGGAAGGCGGACCAATGGGAAGGCGCAGCGCCTTGATGGACAGCGAGCTGCGGCGGGAGGAAGCGCGCCGTGCGGATAAGCCCCGCCTACTGCGCCACCAGCCAATCATCACCCACGCTGTGCTCCCATGGCCACGCCCACATCTAATCAAGCAACAATAGGCCCCGCCTATACACTCAAACCACGCCCACTATGTAGCTGTCAACCTTAAACCCCGCCCCCTCACCCAAGGCCACGCCCCCTCCCTCTGCCCCGAAACTCGGCGGTTTTTGGGGTTTTTTTAATAAATTTATTCACAAAACCCCCCGGGGCCGCGCGGGCTGCGGCCGCTCCCTCCGCACCCCCCTCTCCGCGGGGCTCCGGGGGCGGTTCCCGGGGGGCTCCGGCGCACGGGGGGCTCCCCCGCAGCCCGACCCGCAGGCGGCTCCGGGCGCGGCTCTCAGGCCCTGCGGCCGGGCGGCTCCTCCAGCTCGTAGAACAGCACGTAGCCCTCGCTGGACGGCACCTGGTTCTCGCTGATGGGCGAGACGCTGCGGGGACACCCTCAGCACCGGCCGCGGGGGGCTCGGGGAGGGGGTGCCCGGCAGGGGCTCGGGGGGCTCGCGGGGGCACTGACCGGGAGTCGTTGTAGACGCGCCAGCCGGCCGGGTCGCGGCAGAAGGCCGTGTAGTGCCCGTAGTGCACGCTGCCCGAGTGGTTGCACAGCGCGTACAGGCTGTAGACAGGGCTGCCTGCAGCAGGACGGGGTCGGGGTTAGGATCCCCCACCCTAAAACACCCCAAAAAGCGGAGACCCCCGGAGCTCTCCTCACCCGCCTTCTCGCTGGCGAACTCCCGCAGGTTGAGCTGCTGCAGAGGGAAGTCCACGAAGACCGAGCATTTCTTGATGGAGTAGCGCGTGGTGGAGAACCGGTTCAGGTCTGCCGAGGGTTAAGGGAGGGGGGGAAAAAATGGAGGGGTGACCCCCTGTGCCCCCACCCCCCTCCCCAAAAAAAAAGTTTGGGGGTGATGGTTCCCAAAGGATACGGAGCACCAGGATGCGTGGGAAGCGCTGGATCGTCAACTTCTTGGTGCTGCGCGTGCGCTGCCGGCACTTGTCACACACCTGGGGGGCAGGGGACATCAGGGGGGAGGGGGGGGGTCCATCCTCTCACCGGGGCGTTCTCCGAGTCCAGCTCCTCCTCCTTGGTGAAGAGGCTGAAGCAGTCGTGCAGCGAGACCTTGCCCCCGGCAAAGCTTTTCTGGAGGGCCACGAGGTCAGGGGGGGAATTTTGGGGGGGTCAGGGGGGGAATTTGGGGAGTTTGAGGGGTTTTTGGAGGGGTCTGAGGGGTTTTGAGGGGATCTGATGGGTTTTTGGGGTGGTCTGGAGAGTTTTTGGGAGATCTGAAGGGGTTTTTTTTTGAGGAGACTGGGGGGTTTTTGGGATGTCTGGGGGGTTTTTAAATTGGTCTGAGGGGTTTTTGGGATGTCTGAGAAGTTTTTGGATGGGTCTAAGAGGTTTCTGGAGGGGTCTGAAGGGCTTTGGGGGGGTCTGAGGGGTTCTTGAAGGAGTGTGAAGGGTTTTTGGAGGGGTCTGAATGGTTTTTGTGGCGTATGAGGGGTTCTGGAGGCAATCTGAAGCATTTTTGAGGCCTTTGAAGGGTTTTCTGGGGGATCTGAAGGGTTTTTGGGGGTCTGAAAGTTTTTTAGGGGCTCTGAAGTGGTTTTGGAGAGGTCTGAAGGGTGTTTGGGGGGATCTGAGGGGTTCTGGGGGCGATCTGAAGCATTTTTGGGGCCTCTGAAGGGTTTTCTGGGGGATCTGAAGGGTTTTTGGGGGGGATCTGAGTTGTTTTTGGGGGCTCTGAAGGGTTTTTGGGGGTGTCTGAAGGGTTTTTGGGGTCCCCCCAGCCCTACCTTTGGGATGGGCAGCGAGAGGTCGCAGAACACCTCGAAGGTGGTGGAGCGGTAGCCGCAGGCCTGGCACTTGAGGCAGCTCTTCAGCTGCCCCACAAAGAGATCTGGGGGGCAAAAAGGGGAGGTCAGGGGGGCACCCCCAGAGGTTTTTGGGGTCCGGGGGAGGGGGGCACAGCCCCACTGCCAGCGCTCACCCACGATCTTGCTGTCCTCCCTCTCCAGGTAGCGCTTCCACATCTGGTTGGCGCGCTCGTCGTCGCTGCGGGGGGCGACACCGGGGTGACACACGGTGGGGGGGGGGGTCAGCTGCCCCCAAAATCAGGGTTCCCCCCTCCCCAGCAGCCCCTCCCCCGTCTCACCTGAGCGTTTCGGGGTCCTCCAGGGCCGGGGGTCTCCGTGTGTCCGACAGGATGCTGGGGGTGCGCCGGCCCTTCCTGTTGATCTCCACGTGCAGCCGGTCCATGAAGAACTTGAGGAATTCCTGCGCGTCCTGCTGGCTGCGGGGACGGGGACGCTTTGTGCCCACCCGGGGGGGTCCCCGGGGGGATCCCCAAAGGTTTTGGGGGGGTTGTCTCACCTGTAACCCGTGAAGGAGGGCACGTATTTTTGGAACACGGCCTTGAAGCGCCCGGGGTTGACGGCCTCGGAGGAGTCGGGGTGCCAGAGGGCGGCGATGACATCGGCGAAGGCTGCGGGGACACGGGGGACACGGCGGGGTCAGCGCCCTCGGGGGGGGTTATGTAACGCTCTGAGGGGGCTGCGGGAGTTTTGGGGGGTCTGTCCCACCTTCGGTGAGCTCCTGGGGGGCGCGGGGGCCGGGGGGCTGCTCCTGCTGGAAGTCCCGGCGCAGGCAGTAGTCGCGCAGCGGTTTGGTGCTGCTCAGGCACTGCAGCACCGCGTTCATGAAGCACTGCGAGGGGACACGGGGACATCCCGGCATGTGGCAGCTCTCCACGGCTCCCTCAGGGTGTCCCCTCTGCTGCCCCAGGTGCCCCGTGGGGCTGGGGGTAGCCGGGGATGTGATGTCCCCAGTGGGATGGGACTGTGGTGGGACAGCCACAAAGAGGCTTGGGGACACTGAGGTGACCCCCAGGTGACACCAAAGGAGCCTTAAAGGACACCAAAGGGACACCAGATCCCTCCCACAGCCCAGGACAGGAGGGTTGGAGACTGTGGGGACAGCACTGTGGGGCTGGGGGACATCCCCAGCAGGACGAGACCAAGGCCACCGAGCATGGGTGACCCCGAGGTGACCCCAAATCCCTCCCACACCCCAGGACAGAGAGACAGGAGGGTTGGGGACCTCGAGGTGACCCCAAATCCCTCCCACACCCCAGGACAGAGAGACAGGAGGGTTGGGGACCTCGAGGTGACCCCAAATCCCTCCCACATCCCAGGACAGAGAGACAGGAGGACTGGGGACCCTGGGGACAGCGCTGTGGAGCTCCAGGAATGTCACCTCCCAGGAGGACAGGACCACAGCGACCAAGCACGGGTGACCCCGAGGTGACCCCAAACCCCTCCCGCACCCCAGAACAGCTCCCCGGGAAGGGCGGGATGCCCACGGCCGCTTACCGTGTTGCCCAAATTCCTGAGGCCGACGTGGCCCGAGCCCAGCAGCAGCGTGTGGTGGGTCTGGGGGGACAGCGAGGGACACCCGGTGAGCCGCGCCCCGGCCGCGCCGTCCCCCCGGGCGTCCCCCGGCGGCGCTGGCTTCACCTCGCCGGTGACCAGCAGCAGCCCCATGACCGCCGTGTGCACCACGGACTCGGAGATGTCGGTGGCCCGGCCCTGCAGCTCCCGCCGGGTCACCAGCGAGCGGTGCAGCTTCCGCGGCAGCTCCACCAGCGTGGCGCCCTGCAGCCCCGGCATGGTGGCACCGCCTCGGTGGCACCGGCTCGGTGGCTCCGGGGTGGCCCCCCGAGGGACCGGTGGCACCGCTGCCGGTCACCGGAGCGTCCCCTCCCCCTCAGCTCATTAGCTGATCCGATTCTCCCGGCTATTCTGGGCCGCGCGAGGCTCATCCCGGGGGATTAATTAGCCGGAGATGCCCCTAGGGACAGCGAGAGCCCGGAGGGGTGCCGAGGTAAACACCCCCCAAAAAATCCCTGCCCGCTTTCCATCGAGGGGTTTCGGGGGTCCGGCGGGGCTGCGGGACCCCCCGAGGCAGCGCTGGGGACATCCCGAGGGGGGACGAGGCGGGGTGGCCGTGCCCAGGTGGCATTTCGGGGATTACGATCCCCCCACACGTGGCCGGGCAGGTGAGGGATGGGGCGGGGGGGGAGGCGGATGCGGAAACGGGGAGGGGGCAGCGGCCACCCCCGGCCACCTCAGTGCCACCAGGGTGCCACCGGTCACTCGTGGTCACCCTGGAGCTGTGGGGACAGAGCCCAGAGGCACAAGGATGGCACCGGCCACCCCCAGCCCCCTGAAGGGTGGGGGACAGCAGCGACCCCCCCTCAGAGGCGTGGGGGTCCCCAAAACAGGACTGGAGCGGGGACAGGTGAGACTGCCACCACTGTCCCACCCTGGCGATGTCACCGAGCCTGAGAGCAGGGACACCGCGGGGGTCACAAAATGTCCCCGAGGATGGGGACGGCGTGGGGGGCTCAAAGTGTCCCTAAGGCTGGGGACACCACGGGGGTCTCAAAATGTCCCTGAGGATGGGGACACCGTGGGGGTCTCAAAACATCCCCAAGGCTGGGGACACTGTGGGGGCTGCAAAATGTCCCTGAGGATGGGGACAGCTTGGGGGTCTGAAAGTGTCCCCAAGGCTTGGGGAATACTGCAGGGGCTTCAAAATGTCCCCAAAGCTTGGGGGACACTGAGAGGGTCTCAAAATGTCCCCGAAGCTGGGGATACTGCAGGGGTCTCAACACGTCCCCATAGCTGGGGATACTGCAGGGGTCTCAACATGTCCCCAAGGCTGGGGACACCACGGGGGTCTCAGCACGTCCCCAAACCTGGGGACACCGCGGGGGTCTCAGCACGTCCCCAAAGCTGGGGACACCGCAGGGGTCTCAACACGTCCCCATAGCTGGGGATACTGCAGGGGTCTCAGCACGTCCCCAAAGCTGGGGACACCGCGGGGGTCTCAGCGCGTCCCCAAGGCAGGGAACACGGCGCCCCACGCCACAGCCCCTCCCGCCCGCCCGAGCTCTTACGGCGGCCGCCTTGTCCTCGGTCCGGCCGGGCGCGGGGCTGCCGGGGCCGTGGCCGAACGGGGGGTCGGAGCGGGCGCGGGGGCCGCCCTCGGGGCGCACGGAGAGCAGCGGCGGGGTGCCTTTGCCGTCGGGCCCGGGGGCCACGGTGACCCTGCGCAGCGACGAGCTCCTCCGCAGCGCCAGCGCGCCCGCGCCCAGCGGGTGCCCGCAGTCCCTGAGCACCAGCCGGCTCAGCGCCACCGCCACGTCCTCGGCGCGGCTGGGGACACCGGGGACACCGCCTCCCTGGCTCAGGTCCCCGATGCTGATGGATTTGGAGCGGGCCAGGTTGCTCCGGCGGCGCTCGGCCGCGCTGGGCAGCGAGAAGGAAGCGCTACCGGGCACCTGCGGGGCCCCCCCGGGCACCCTCACGCCGTGATCGGCCTTGAGCGGCCCCCGGCGCCCCCCCGGCCCGCGGGGAGCGGGGTCCCCCCGTTTGGCCGCCCGGCCCCGCTCCAGCTCCAGCTTCTTGGGGCGGGGGTCGTCGGGGGGCGGCGGGGGCCGGGGGGGCAGCAGGCGCAGTTTGGGGGCCGGGGACAGCCCGTTGGGGGCCGCATGGCGCTCCTGGCTCAGCGCTCGGTGCCCGCTGGGCAGGCGGGAGCCCGCCCGGGGCTGCGCGGTCACCACGGCGCCGGGGTCCCTGGCGCGGCCCAGGCGGTGCTCCGAGGCCTGGGGCATGGCGGGGCCTGCGGGGGACAGCGACAGCCTGGTGACAAGGTGGCAGCGCCAGCGGGGGTGGCAGAAGGGGACGGGGAAGCGGCACCCACCTGCTCACAGCCCCCTGCGCCCGGCGGCCGGACACAGCGTCCCGTCGGCGGGGGCCCTGCGGGGACACGGCGTCACCGGGGGATCCTAAAGCCTCGGGGGACCCCAAAGGCTCGAGGGGACCCCCAGCTCCGTGCCAGGTGAGTCCCGGGGGGCTCGGAGCACCGGGAGTGTGTCTGTCCCCTGCCCAGGCCGGCAGAGCTGTCGGTGTCCCGGGAGGTGCTGGGTGGTCCCGGAGGAGCGGAGCACAAACCCCCGCTGGCCCCGGCTTGGGGCGGGGGTCGCGGCCGGAGACCCGAGGCCTTGGCCCGGGAAGCGCCGCTGGAAAAGCCCCCGACCCCCCCCAGCCCGCGACCCCCGGGCTCAGCCCCCTCCAATCCCGGGGTTCCCCAAAAGGGGATGCGCACCCCCCGGGCCCGCAGCCCCCCCCTCAATCCCGGGGTCCCCCAAAAGGGGATGGGCACCCCCCGGGCCCGCAGCCCCCCTCCAATCCCGGGGTTCCCCAAAAGGGGATGTGCACCCCCCCGGCTCAGCCCCCCGCAATCCCGGGGTTCCCCAAAAGGGGATGCGGACCCCCGGGCTCAGCCCCCCCAATGCCGGGGTCCCCCAAAAGGGGATGGGCACCCCCGGGCTCAG